TTGTGAGATGTGTCACAGATTGGTCACTGTTCTTTATTATTTCATAGTATTCTGTTTTGTGTTTGTACCATAGTTTATCCATTCATCTGTTGATGGGCACTTAGGTTGTTTCCATCTTTTTGCTATTGTGAATAATACTGCAATGAGCATGGATGTGTATATGTCTATTTATGTGACTGCTCTTATTTCTCTAGGATATATTCCTAGGAGTGGGATTGCTGGATCGTATGGTATTTCTATTTCTATTTCTATTTCTAGCTTTTTAAGGAAGTGCCATATCATTTTCCAAAATGTTGGTACCATTTTACTCTCCCACCAGCAGTGCATAAGAGTTCCAAGCTCCCTGCAGCCTCTTCGATATTTGTTATTTTGTGGTTTGTTTTGTTTTGTTTGATTCGTGCCAGTTATGTCAGGGTGAGATGATATCTCATTGTAGTTTTGATTGGCATTTCTCTAATGGCTAGTGATCATGAGCATTTCCTCATGTGTCTGTTAGCCACCTGAATGTCTTTTTTGGTGAAGTGTCTGTTCATATCCTTTGCCCATTTTCTGATGTGTGTATCTATTGCTATAAATTGACTTCTGAGCACTGCCTTTGCTGTGTCCCAAAGGTTTTGGTATGATATGTTTTCATCCTTATTTGATTCTAGCAATTTTTTTTATTCTATCTTTGATTTCTTCTGTTACCCTGTGGTTTTTTAAGTAGGGTGTTAATCAGTTTCCATGTATTTGATTTTTTCCCTTGCTCTTCCTGTTGTTAATTCTACTTTGATGGCGTTGTGATCAGAGAAGATACTTTGTACTATCTCAGTGTTTTGGATTTTGTTGAGGGTTGCTTTGTGGCCTAAGATGTGGTATATTCTGGAGAACTTTCCATGTGTTTGGAAAAGAAAGTGGACTTTGCACCTGTTGGGTGGAGTGTTCTATATATGTCTATGAGGTCAAGTTGGCTGATTGTGGCCTTTAGATCTTCTGTATATTTGATGAGTTTCTTTCCAGATGTTCTGTCCTTTACCAAGAGTGGTGTGTTGAAGTGTCCTACTCTTATTGTAGAACTGTCAATTTCTCTTTTCAGTGCTGTTAGAGTTTGTTTTATATATTTTGGAGCCCCATCATTGGGTGTGTAGATATTTATTATGGTTATGTCTTCATGATGGATCATCCCTTTAATCATTATTCTTTTGCCCATTTTTAAATTGGAATATTTGTCTTTTTGTTGTAGAGGTGTTGGATTTTCCTATAGATTTTAGAGATTAGATCTTCGTCAGATTTGTCACAGCCAAATTTTTTTTCCCAGTCTGTAGGCTCTCTTCTTACCCTTTTGGTGAAGTCTTTTTGATGAGCATAAGTGTTTAATTTTTAGAAGATCCCAGTTATCCAGCTTATCTTCTGGTGTTTGTGTATTTATTGTTAGTTATGGTTTGTATCCCATTTATGCTGGGCCTCTAGCATTGACCCTATTTTTTCTTCTATGATCTTTATAGTTTTGGGTTTTATATTTAGGTCTTTGATCCATTCTGAATTAGTTTTTGTGTATAGTGTGAGGTATGGATCTTGTTTCTTTTTTAAAAAAGTGGACATTTAGTTTGAAATCAAAAGTTATTCTCACCACAATCAGTTAAGATGATTACTGTCTGTTTCTACTCCAGCTTCCTTTTGTATGGGGGCTTTTGTATGGGGGCTTTTTTAAGGTGGCTAAGAAGTTAGGTTGGAAACACATTTGGCTTGAGATGAGAGGGTTATCAGTATGTGATTCATTTGCACAAGTGTGTATCCTTATTGCTGGCCAGCCCAGCAAAGGAATGGCTTCCAGGAGTAATCCTGCCACCCACTGTGCAGACTAACCAGGGGTAACACCAACGTGGGACATGATCATGTCCTGAAGCAACAAAAAAAAAAAAAAACCCAAGCCCATGCCATAAATTCTGACTCATGTGTTAGAGAGTAGAAGTGTGCTCCATAGTGTTTTCTTGGCTGTAATCTTTATAGAAGCAGATTGCCAGGACTTTCTCCTATGGCACTTCTGGGTGAGTTAGAACCACCAACTTTTAGGTTGTAGTCTAGCCATCCAGGGACCAGGAAAAGAGAATAAACATACTAGAGGCAAAACGGAATTAGGATTCTCTTCTCTCTAGAGAACCCTTTGGGACAGTTCTACTCCTCCTATAGGGTCGCTATGAGTCCGAATCCACTTGACAGCAGCGAGTTTTCTCTCTATAGAAAATGACTTCATAAAATCTTTGTTATATGAAGAAGCAAACAAAGAGTATGCAGTCAGAAAAAATGAGGGAAAAACGTATTTCAGAATGTGTTAGAAAATTAATTAAAATATATCATTTCCCTGGATTTTGTGATGGGTATGGCGGCTTTCAGCTTTTTAAATTTGTGATTTTTGTCTAATTTAAAATTATATTTATATAAATTATATATAGAATTTAAAATTGTATCTGATTTTGTATTTTTTCCCAAAGAGGGTTCCCTAAAATTGTGTACACTTTCAGCCCCATATAACTTGGATTCATCCCTTTGGCTCTAGGAAATAAGTGCAACTGAAAGACTGATTATATGACCCGTTTGCATTTCTGGAAAATTATATTGTCAGATGTTTTACAGTAAAAGAAGACTTAGCAGAAACATCAAAGAATATGAGGCAACTTTTTAAATGAAGCAATTATTAACTTCAGAAGAAACAAAAGTTGTGCAAGAAAGGAAATGTAATCAGATTGTACTACCTGGCTCAGCAATAACAATATATACACAGCCATGAGTAACAAAAATTATGAATTAGGATTTAAATAAAAATGAGTATGGACTAAATTGGAAGATTTTACCTCGTCTACATAACAGGAAGTGAGTAAGTAATGTCTATAATTAGTAAGTAGATACTATGTGTATTATTTAGAAATATGGATGTCAATACTGGAAGAAACAGCTGAAACATTGCTTAGTTATAAACCAGCAGCTAAAGGGAGTCAGCCAGGTGATGATTGCTTCTTGCCCTGTAAAACTTTAAATTCCATGTATTATTATTACTTTCATAACTTTTTTTATTTAATGCCAGTCATGCACTTTTTTTGGTTAAGTTTTTTTTTTTTTTAATTTATTGTGCTTTAGGTGAAACTTTACAGAGCAAATTAGTTTCTCATTAAACAATTAATACACATATTGTTTTGTGACATTGGTTGCCAATCCTGCAATGTGTCAACACTCTCCCCTTCTTGACCTTGGGTTCTGCATTTTCATTCTGCCAGCTTTCCTGTCCCCTCCTGCCTTCCGGTTCTTGCCCCTGGGCTGGTGTGCCCATTTAGTCTTGTATACATGGTTCAGCTATGTGTATTATTCTTTGTTTTATGGGCTTATCTCATCTTTGGCTGAAGGGAGTCATGTACATTTTGAAGGAGTAGTTCTAGAAAATTTTGCAACTGAAAATTGGGAAGTCTTGACCCAGCACAAGCTTACAAGCAAAAATTGCTTGAAACATTATACACCCACTCCTCTAGACATGGTTAGGTTCCAAAGACCTGGTCGTTATACGAAAAACGGCGTTATACAAAACTGAAGGATGATCACATCAGATCACAAAAGAGAGGATGATTACATCACCACATAACCTCCAAATTACATAGTTACATAACTGCGGAACCACTGAGAATCATGGCCCAGACAAGCTGACACATAACCTTAACTGTCACCGCCAGTGTTACCCTTGCCTCCCGTCTTGGCGTTCGTTACTACCAGATGTACATCGTTAAAGTGCAAAATAGTTGGATAGTAGATTTTTTACTATTGTCATAAATGCAAAATGTCGGATAATGACATAATCAATAATATATGCACAAACCAACAAAATGGCAACTACTTGTCCACCATAAAGAATGGTTAAGTCATATATGGTACATCCACAGTGTGGAATTCTCTACAGCTGCTAAATTCAATGTCAAATAATGGCATTGATTAGAACAATGTCCACATAACACTGTACAGGGAAAAAAGCAAGTTCCATAATGATGTATATATTGCATTGCATATATGCATGTGCACAGGAATGGTTCTGGTGAACTCTGGGGAAAAGTGGGAGCAGTAAGGGAAGGACTTTCAGTGTGAGTGTGTGTGTGTGTGTGTGTGTGTGTGTGTGTGTAACTTGGAATTTCTTTTACTAATGAAGATGGCACAGGACTGGGCACCGTTTCATTCTGTCATACATAAGGTCACCAGAGTGGGGGCCCACTCAAGAGCAACTAACAACAACAAACATATTACTTTCTGTAATAAAAAAATAAAAATTCTAATTCTTTAAAGATCTTTTTTTAAGGTCAGTCTCAGAATGATTTTGGAATGTGGAGTTTACCCAATGTGGAAATTGTTGGAGACATCCTATGCTGAAGATAACTGTTTTGGGTCAAAAGGAGGCTGAAAACAGAGGAAGCAGCTGTCTTACCAACTCTCCTCCTCTTACCAAACATTTCTCACTGACCTTGCCAAGGAGAACTTCGCCAACCCTGCCTGCAGTTTCCGGGCTGGGAGTGAAGGAGTGGAGCCAGGGTGCTTCCTGCCACCACTTCTGGAGGAGACCCCACTACAGGGACAGCTGCTTCCCTCAGGAATCCTCGGGCCTGGCTGACCCTCCAGCCCCGCCCAGCCCGCTCCTTCCTGGCGTGCCTTGTCAGGGCACTTACTGTCAGGAAGCAAACCTTGTCTCTCCAGACCCTCTCCTCCCCAGTTTTCTGCATCTACATCTTCCATTTCCAAATAACCAGGCACACACACAGATTTTCAAGATTTGGTTCTTCTTTTTCTACTCCATTGCGGAGGCTGAAAATTTTCATAATTACAACGAATTGTGGAAGGACAGGGGTCTGAGGCCCTTAACCACCTCTCATCCTCCCTCAGCCCCTCCCCATTCCCCTGACTCTATTCTTCTTCGTTTCTTCAAAACTCTCAGCAGAGAAGGGGGCGGGAGCTGTAGGGTAAAGTGGGTGGTGCAGGTTCAAGACTTGCGGTCAGAGTCTCCCAGCGGTGTGGTTCTGCTTGGTCTCACACACCCAGCGGTGCATCTGTTGGCACAAATCGTCATTCCAGTGGCCATCCGAGAGGATTTCGACGCAATCTTCATTTCCTCCCACCTCGTGCCCCTGCCAGTTGTCCGGCTGAGTGTAATCCCAGTTCCTAAGAAGGCAGGGTGGAACTCCAGTTCTGATCCCCCACTCATCCCTGACTGACCACCAGCCCCACCCTCACCCCCACCCCAGAAAAGCACAGCTTGGGAGGGGCCCAGGGAGCAGGAGCTGCAGCCTTAGAGGTTGGCAGTCTCCGGAGGAGAGAGTTAGGGAGTTTGGTCCCTGAGGGGTCGAGTGGGTGTAGAGTGGGGCAAAAGTCCAGATGGCTGTCCTCCGGTCAGACTAAGGCAGATACAAAGAGGGGGGTCACTTACTTGTAGCCATTCTCATAGTCAGTACCATCCGCCCACTTCCAGGAGCCACCACTGTTGGTGAGCCCTATCCAGGTATGAAAGGATCTCGAGTGTTGTAGAATGAATTTCTGGGAAAACAGGTGGGAGGAAAGTTTTAGTACTTTCCACCCTTATCCTTCTCAGCTTTCACCAGCCTGATCTCCCCCCGGGCTGAAGCAGCAGCTCCCAACATGACTAGTTTATCTTGCTTTTTCTTTTGTAACCATAACTATTGTTTAGTGAACATTTACTGAGGCTAGGAGTCCCTGGCTGGCACAAACAGTTAAGTGCTTGACTGTTAGTGGAAAGGTTGGCAGTTCGAATGCACCCAGTGGTGCCTTTAAAACCCTATGGAGCACAGCTCCACTCTGACACATGGGGTCACCATGAGTCTGAATCAACTTGGTGGCAACCAACAACAACAACAATTCCTTATGCAGAGTCGCTGGGTGGCGCAAACAGTTATCACAACCAAATGAAAGGTTGGAAGTATGAACACACCCATAGGCACCTCAGAAGAAAGGCCTGGCAATTCCAAAAGATCAGCCGTTGAAAACCCAGAGGCGCACAGTTCTATTCTGACACACGGGTTTTTGTTTTGTTTTTAGGCCTTGTGCTAAGTGCTTGACAAGGATTGTCTCATTTAATCCTCATACAAGCCCTCTAAATTGGATGCCGTAATGAGTTACATTACAGAAAAGGTTAAGGCATTAACTCATGGTGTTGGTAGAGCAACAGAGCCAAGCCCAGTGCCTGAGCTTCTGAACACACTTGGTTCACAGCCCTAACCCTGTCCCCTGCTTCATTCCCAACTCATGGCAGCTACCCCAACTCTGGTCTTCGGCCCACAACTTCAAACTCGTGGAATCCTGGCTCTGGTTCCTGCCTTTGCTGCCCCCATGAGCTCACGCCCCTCTAAAGGAGCTCAGTGTCAATCATCTCTCAGGTACATCTGCCCCCGTTGTTTCTGTTTCTGTGTGTGGTTGTCATTTTTTGAGGTTTGCCAGGCCCCAAAGCTTCCAGGCTTGGATCCACTGCCCAGGGCCCCAGTGGGACCACACAGGGTCTGGCAGTCTATGCTGAAAGTAGGAAGATGCCCTGTTCTCAGGGTGAAAGTGGTCTGTGAGCATACACACGGCTCCCAGGGCTCACGCACACCCCCTAGTACAAGAGCCCCTCCAAGTGGCTTTCTCTTACAGATCTGGCTGTTCCTGGGAACCCGAGGCCCATGGTTTGGGAAGGTAGTGAGAAAGGGAGTCACCTAGTTTTATAGAGGAAGCAGCATGGGCCATTTCTTTGATATAAATCTCTCTCTATATATATATATATATTTATACGCTTTACTGGTCTTGCTTCTCTAGAGAACCCAGCCTAAGACAGGTGTTGTCCAGTCGGTTCCAAGTCATAGCGACCCTAAGTACAACAGAATGAAATACTGCCCGGTCCTGTGCAATCCTCACAATCGTTGTTATGCTTAAGCCCATTGTTGCAGCCACTGGGTCAATCCATCTCGCTGAGGGTCTTCCTCTTTTTCACTGACCCTCTACCAAGCATGATGTCCTGCTCCTAATAACATGTCCAAAGTATGTGAGATGAAGTCTCGACATCCTTACTTCGAAGCAGCACTCTGGCTATACTTCTTCCAAGACAGATTTGTTTGTTCTTCTAGCAGTCCATGGTATATTCAATATTCTTCAACAACACCATAATTCAAAGGTGTCAGTTCTTCTTCAGTCTTCCTTATTCATTGTCCAGCTTTCACATGCATATGAGGCAATTGAAAACACCATGGCTTGGGTCACACACACCTTAGTCCTTAAAGTGACATCCTTACCTTATAGGTAAAGCAAAATATGTTTGTAATCACTCTATCCCACCACTCATCTGTCAGTTAGTCATACTGTGGTGGCTTGCGTGTTGCTATGATGCTGGAAACTATGCCACTGGTATTTCAACTGCAAGCAGGGTCACTCATGGTGGACAGGTTTCAGCATAGTTTCCAGACTAAGACAGACTAGGTAGAAGGGTTTGGGGATCTGCTTCCGAAATCAGACAATGAAAACCTTATCGATCACAGCAGACCATTGTCCAATATAGTACTGGAATATGAGCCCCCTGAGTGGGAAAGCACTGCACGATAGTCACAACTATGGACTCAAACATGCCAATGATCATGAAGATGGCACAGAACCAGGCAACATTTGGTTCTGTTGTACAAAGGTCACCATGAGTAGAAGCTGACTTGACAACGACAAATTCCCCTGCTAGAGACTGATGCATAGTAAACAGTTGATAAATAGGTTCTGGTCTCTGATCACGTGGTTTAATTACTGTGGCATTATAATACTTTTAAATTCATATATAGCAAAGGCCTCATAGCCCCCGCAGTTCTGAGGCAGGATGTAGCAGTGAAAAGCTCCACCTAAAGAGGCAGAGTGGATCTGACGTCTAGCTCCACCATGACTTACTAGCTGCATGGCAAGTTACTTAACCTCTGTGCTCTTTAATGTCCTCATCTCTAAAGTAGGGATAAAGTCCCTGGGTGGCACAAATGGTTTGTACTTAACTGCTAACCTAAAGGTTGGCGATTCAAACCCACCCAGTGGCTCCGAGGGAGAGGAGGTCTGACCATCTGTTTCTGTTAAGATTACAGCCAAGAAAATCCTATGGAGCAGTTCTACTCTGTACCACATGGAGTCACCATGAGTTGGAATCAACTAACAACCCTGTGGCAACAACTAACAACAACAACAACAAAGTAAAGGATAATAAGAATGCCACCCACCTAGAATTGTTGTGAGGATTAAATAAGTGAATATATGCAAGTGTCTGGTACACGGTAAGTATACAGTAGATGTTACCATTATTACCTTCCTTTTACAAAAATGTTTTGCCTATTCTGGAGCCCTGGTGGCACAGTGGTTAAGAGCTTGGCTGCTCATCAAAAGGTCAGCAGTTCGAATCCACCAGCCGCTTGCTGGAAAACATATGGGGCAGTTCAACGGGTTTGCAAGGACCCAGGAGCTTGTTGCAGGCATGTCACGGGAAATCCTGGCCAGGGACAGATTAACCAGGAAGCAAGGTACGCACGGGCTTACCTTACTTTTTCATTGATGTGGTGAAATTGTGCACTACAGATTAGTAAGTAAGCACAAGTAAGCCCATGCGTACTTTGCTTGCTGGGTAAGCTGTCCTTGATTCCTGGCCCATCCTGTTCCTTTCACCTAACTGACCACCATATCATGAGGTTGAGCACACGCCAACAGGGAACTCTCAGCACCTCAACTTTGCTCTCTGTCCAAGTCCTGGACCTTTCCATTCATCCTGTCTCACATTTGGCCTCCTGGCCTGCTCCTTATCACGAGGACACCTGGCTTGTCCCTTTGTAAGAGCTGCTGGCTGCAATCTCCCACCTCTTAGAAATGGCTGCTCCACTATGAACCTCCCAGAGCTTCACTAGACTTCTACTTTTGGACTCTTCCTTAGGTTAAATTTAAAAAGCAAGCCTGGTCCAGCCTCCTAGAGCCTGCTTGCCGAAGGGTTTCTTCCTACCTTTGGGAAGGGTAAGGTCCCTGGGTGGCACAAGGGCTTTGCAATTGGCTATTAACCTAAAGGTTGGCAGTTTGAGCCCACCTAGAGGCACCATGGAAGAAAGGTCTGGTGATGTGCTTCTGAAAAGATTACAGCCAAGAAAACCCTGTGGAGCAGTGCTAGTTTGTAACACATGGGGTTGCCATGAGTCAAAATTGACTCACTGGCAACAGGTTTGGTTTTTGGTTTTGGTTGGGAAGGGTATGGGCTCACCTGCTCCTCCCTGGAGTTGATGACGACCAGGTGGGCATCCTCCAGCTGGCAGTACTTGTCAGCCTCAGGCCAGGTCTTTCCAGAGCGAGAAAACCAGTAGCAGCTGCCTTCATGTTCCATCCAGTTAACAGGGCAGCATTTTGTGCCTAACGGTGAGGGGGCAGAGGGCCATGAGATCCATTGGAGTGGGTATGTGCGACAGCGCTGGAGAGCCCCCCGCCCCTACCATTGCTCTGGAGGAATGTTATATGACACTCCAGGATGCGCAGATCTAGCGGGTAGTGCTTCAGGTGAAGGAGCAAGTTGGCGTGATCTAGGAGAACAGATGGACAGACGGTGAAGTGGATAGAGACCGTATGGGTTCCCATCCACCAGGATCGGGCACAGGAGCCCAGCCTTTGGCTGGGGACACACACACTCACAATCCAGGGAGGGGTCTCTGACCTGATTTCAGGTCCTCGTTCTCTTTCTCCAGCTTGGCTTCCAGAAATGTCACCCTGTCACTCACGTTGACCCCTGAAAGAGAGAAAAGCTAAATTGTTTTCCCTAGATTCTGCTTCTTAACATCCCTACACCCTCACTGCTACTGGGGCAATGGTCCTGGCCACCATCACCTTTTCCTGGGCATTTCCAAGGTCCACCCCCTGGTCTCCCTGACTCCGTTCATTCTCCCTACACCTCCAAAGTGGTTTTTCTGAAGCACAGACCTGATCAGCTCACTCTCGTGCTTAAGTCCCTCCAATGGGCCCCCATTTTCTCAAATAAAGCCTCACTTAAATAGCATGGCTTTCTTGCATGACTTGGTCCCCACACGCCTCTCTGGCCCACCCCTCCCCACTCTCCCCAGCCACACCAGAATTGACAGCTCATAATGTGGGCAGTGGTTTTTCGAACCTCCTGGTCATCAAAATTCTGTTCTCTCCACCTGGAGCTTAACCTCCATCCTCTTCACCTGCCCAACTCCTAGTCATCCTCCAAGACCCCTTGGCTCAGGAATCTGCATCCCTGGGAGCCTTGCCCAGTGTCTCAGGCTGGGTTCTCTGACCCAGTCTTCACCTCCATTACCCTGAACATGCCTCGATTGCAGTCCCCAGATCAGGCACTGTGACGAGTAGATCTGTGTGGATAAATAAGTGCCTAAACAATCTAACCCACCCCTTACCCCACTGCTGTCGGGAGAGCACCCACTCACCATGGAAGCTGAGAGCCCGGACCTCCATCAGGGTGGTTGCTGAGAAGTTGTTGAGAGTTTCTTTGAGGGCCCGCAGCTCCATGTGCAGCTGTGTGCCTTGTCGGGAGACAATGGGAACAGGACAAGGTGGAGGGGGCTGTGTCCCTATGACAACCCTACCACTGTCAATGCAATGTCCCCCTCACCACTCCATCACTGTCTTTACCACTGTTGTTGTTAGCTGCCATCAACTCTACCTCTGACTCATGATACACCACGGGATGGGACTTTGTGCTCCATAGGGTTCTCACTGGGTGATTTTTGGAAGTAGATCACCAGGGCCTTTCTTCCTAGTCAATCTTAGTCTTGAAGCTCCACTGAAACCAGTTCAGCATCATAGCAACATGCAAGCCTCCACTGACAGACAGGTGGTGGCTGCACATGAGGTGCATTGGCCAGGAATTAAACCCAGGACTCCCGCATGGAAGGTGAGAATTCTACCACTGAAACACCACTGCCCCCCACTCCATCACTGACCCCTATCTTGGCCCCCATCACTGCCCCATAACCACCCTCATCACCTCCCCAATTGCTTCCTCTGTCATTGCCCTTCACCCCTACCCAGTCACTTCCCTCAGTTATTCCTGCCAATATCACTGCCCCATCACACCCCATCACATTGTCTCCATCTCTTCCCCTGCCATCATTCTCATTGCTCTCATCACTGCCCCACCACTGCCCCATCACTGCCCCCAGTGTAATACTCACTTTGGGACCCAATCATACAGATGACCACCAGCAGCAAGACATTGAAGCCCAGGGCAAGCAGACTGAGGCGGGTCCGGGAGCAGAAATGCTGCAGGAAGGGCTTGGGGGGAGGCGTCCCTGCAGGAGACAGGGTGTCAGGAGAAGGAAGGGGTGTCCAAAGGACAAGGGAGCTAGAGAGTGAAGCATAGCAGAAGCAGACAGGGTACAGAAGTCTGAGGAAGCATGACCCAGGGTTGAGGGAAGGACACTCAATGAGCAGAGGATTGTTGGAGGATTCAGTGGGCTTTGACCAACAGCATCCGGGCTGTGTACACACAGACATGCCCAGACACCCTTGCACACACACACATTTACACATTTGCACCCACATGAACATGTACAAATGTACACACGCACCTACACAGGTGCACACAACACACATGCATATGGATGCACGATATCCACATCCCTATGTGCAAATTCCTGCTCTTAGAGCTGGGGAACAGGGACACACAGAGGTGGCCAGGGGGCAAGCCTGATCCTTATGGACATAGGTCCTGAGAAAGGAGGTCTATGAGTGCGTTTTTCCTCCCGCCCAACCATCGTGAGGGGCCCTAGATCACCTCTGGCCTTCTTGGCCTCTGCTCTTCTGACTGCTTGACTGGGGTCCCTAGAGGCTGGCCCCTGTGTTCCTCTTAGGCTCCTCAGCTTGGCCCCTCTAACAAGGCCAGGACTGGAACAGCCCCTCCCCCTGAAAGTCCACTGGGATCCTCAAGTCCAGATCATTTCACCATAGACCACTCCTCAAGGGCCATTCCCCAGATTCCATCCTCCTCCTCATCTCCCACCACTCAGAGCCTCCTCTCCCCAACTCCCTCTGCCCTTGCTCCTCCAGCAACCCTAATTCCATTTAAACTCTCTCCCTTTAACCCTCAGCCATCACGCAGGAATCTCCTCTTCCCCTTGATCAGCCTGAACCCTGACCACACACACACATTCACACATACTGTTACACACATTTTTCATACTATCTCACAGAAACACATACACATTCTAATGTTCTCACACACACCAACACACATTCCTCACTCACACTCACACCCGCATTAACACACACATTCTTTCTTGCACATATACACACCCTAAGACACACATTCCCCCAAACACCTACACTCACTCACACACACTTACACCCACATCTCCACACACACAGCTGCCTCATCCCCCCTGCCTTCTCTTCAGGCCTGGAGGAAGGACTGTGCTCCGGTCCCTGAGCTCCTGCATTTGCACTATCCCCCTACAGACAAAACGCTTCCTCAGATTCTGTGGACTTCTCTCTCTCCTTGTCGCTATCACACTCAGCCACCACCACCCCCAGGTGAGGGAGGGGCCCAGAATCATCCTCAGTTCCTCTCCTGCTACCATCCTGGGTTGGATACGATCACTGAAAGTGACCACCCACAACCTTGACCTACTCATTCTAATGACTGTCACCCGCCTCCACTTCAGCCCCACTCAGGACCCTATCTTAGCCCCAGAAGCCCTGCCTTTGATGCCCTGACCACCAACTCTGAGCACAGCCCAACCCCACCCCACCATCGCTCACAATCCCCCCACCCCCAGCAGCTCCCCCAACCATGTCTTCCTCACCCAGGCAGGACTCCATGGCTGAGGCCCCAACTGCTTTCTTTAGTCCTGTCCACTCAGCAGGCTCTTGTCCAGCTGCCCAGCCTGACCTGTAAACCCCCAGCTCTGGGTCAGCCCAGCAACAGGTCTCTGTGTTTCTACCCTGAAACCAGACAGCCCACAGGTGTATTCCAGCTTGCCACCAGCTAGCTCTGAGACCAGGCACAAGTCATTCAACTTCTCAGCACCTCAATTTTCTCCTGTGAAAATGGGGACAACAACAGTACTTACCTCATCGGTTGTTCTGAGAACTAAATGAGTTAAAACACATGAAGTGCTACTTAAGTAAGTTTGAAAGGAAAAGAGTCTCTCCCAGATAGAGAAACAGGGACCAGACTTGCCCTCCCACCCAAAACAACCAAAGCAAAAGTAGAAACAACCAAAGCAAAAGTAGAAACAACCAAAGCAAAAGTAGACAGACATAAGAAAAAACAGTTGTCAAGACACTAGACATCAGTCAACAAAAAACAACGATTTCCAAGAGCTGGGAAATAAACAAGGTGAGCCCTATGATTGTCCTGGCTTACTGCTTGGAGAAAGTTTTCAGGGCGGGGGATCCACACAGAGCCCGGCAGACTTCCTGGGTTGAGGAGACAGAGCTGAGAGTCTGGGGAGACCAATGTGGCTAGAGTTCACAGGACAGAGCACAAGAGAGGAGAAAGCTGCACAGAGAGAGAACCTAGGAGATCTGCAGAGACTTCCCCTCTAGCAATCAGCTGAGTACTGAGTACTACATGTAAGGAAATTACTGAAGGCCAAGAAAAAAACAACCTGAAAAGATTAGGGAACAGTGGCTGCTGGCAATCATACAGAACCAGGAATAGTGCCTATTCCCACCAGCCAGACTGGAAAAACTCATAATCCTCAGGGCTTTGGGTAAAGTATCCCAAGGTCTTGCCTCAGCAGTGGAGTAAAATCAGCTTTGAACTGAGCACTGCTCTAGACCACCTAACAAATCACAAAAGCAAGACCCACAAGGATACATCTGATTCCAAGTAAGTTAACTGCACCCCACAACAAAGCTCAAGAATATTTAAAGGAATAAAAAAATGCTAAGCAGCCAATGAGATAAAATACACAATGTCTGGCATCCAATCAAAGATTACCAGGCACACAAAGAAACAGGAAAATGCAACTCACATGGGGAGATTAATAAATCAGTCAAAACTGGTACAGAACTGACTCAAACGTTAGAATTAGCAGACAAGGACATCAAAACAGATATCTATATTCCATACATTCAAAAAGTTAAGTAGAGACATGGAAGATATTCAAAAGTACCAAATGGAATATCTAGAGATACAAACTACAATGTCTGCAATGAAAAACACACTGGGTAGGAATAATAGCAAATTAGACAAGTAAAAAAAGATTAGTGAACTTAAAGACATAGCAATAATAACTATATAAAATGAGGCACTGACAGAAAAAAGAATCCAAAAGTGGAGAGAGCATCAGTGAGCTGTGGACCACTTGAAGTAACTGGAGTCTCCAAAAGAAAGAAGGAGAGAAAATATTCGACAAACAATTGCCAAAAAATTTCCAAATTTGATGGAAACTATAAATATGTAAAGTGCTGGGAAGATCGGAACATGGTACTGGTAAGCAATTGATAAATGTTAGCCAGCATGATGATGGAGTCCCCTGGGTGGAACAAACGGTTAAGCACTCAGCTGCTAACTGAAAGGTTGGAGATTTGAGTCTGCTCAGAAGAAAGGGCCTATGGTTTACTTCGGAAAAAACAGCCATTGAAAACCTTATGGAGCACAGTTCTATTCTGACACACACAGGGTCACCGTGAGTCAGAATTGACTCCACAGCAACTGGTTTACTGGTTTAACATGGTGACTACACCCTTCCAGGCACAGAGGCTGCTGGAGAGAAATGCACTGATTGGGGACACCACCTTGGACTTGCCCCTCAATGTTGTCCATCACTCCTCTTGAGTAAGCTCCATCTCCCATTAAATCCAAAGCTTCTGGACCACTAAGCTTCCTGCTCAAACTCTGAACCTCTTATGCTCAGAAAAGTTAGCAATATACAAAATTATATTTTTGAGTGTTCACTAGGTACCAGGCATCATGTGGGCACTGGGGATGCAGAGCAGAGCAAGACAAATGCGCTCTCTGCCCTGTGGAGGCTACTGCCTGACGGAAGGCCTGACAGCCCACTACACAGAGAGAGGAGGGGCCATCGATGGGAATGCCTGACCCTGCTGCCCTCCCCAGCTCCCACCCTGACCTGCAACAATACTAGCCCTGCCTAGGTCTGCCAGGCTTTTCCCCGCCCAGGCTAACCTATCCCCCTCTCTGAGCTCCACGTTCCAACCCCTCCTGTCTCCACAGAACCTTGCTCCATTACCAGCACTCACAAGACCTGACACTGCTCTCTTCCTTCTAGAACCACTCAGGCCTTTCTCACCTTGAAAACTTTGCCCAGACACTCAGATCTTCCATCAAGATTTGTTAGAGAAAGGAGGGGAGAGGGACCAGGAATCTTCCAAGACCTCTCTGTGCCCATTCACCTTCACACACTCACTTCTTGCTTGATCTGCATTCCTTGCACACACACACATACACACAGCACACATGGAAGAAAGAGAGGAGAAAACCATCCTCAGTTTCCTTTTATTCCGACACTCCTGAGCACACACCCTTTCCTGGGGTCCTGGGGTAGAGAGGAAAGTGGAGTTGGGACAAGCAGAGGCCTCAGCACCTCACACCTAGAGAGACTCGGTCCCTGTTCAAAGAGTGACTGACCAAAACCTTAGAGAGCAGAGCACCATCAGGAGCTAAGGCAGAGGTGGCACAAAGCCCCAGACACTGGACACTTGCCTTTCCAAAATGGATTTTCTCTTCTGAAATTCTGTCTGTGAGGGCCTGGCCCCTCACTTCTTCCCAGCTGGTGGTCATTTTCCTCAGAGTCCAGCTGCTGGATGTCTTGAAATTCCTTCGCCATGACGGGCCCAGGATTGGAGCCGGACCTGTGCTGTGTTGAGATTGCTTTTAGGGGTGAGCTGGGGCTGAGATTGGGGCTGGTGCTTGTGGTGCTTGTGGAGGCTGGTGATAAGGTCAAATCTAGGTTGAGGTGATGGTTTGGTTTGGATCTGAGTTTGGAGGAGACTGTGGGGCTGAGGTTTGAAATACAGGTGGGGACTACTCCCCTCTCAGGAGGTTGCTTGGGGCCTTAACTGGGGCCTTTAGCCTTTCCCCCTTACTCTTATGGGCCAAACCACCCATGTCTTCTCATTCAGCCCCCACTGCCACTGAACTAGTCTCCTTAATCCCAAGTATCTCCAGCCCCACCTACCTCCCCACAGTTGATTACCTGTTAAAGGTGTGGAGGTCGGACTCCTTGATCCCTCAGGCAGCCCAGGCTCCGGGATGAAGGGGGTTAAAGCCTGGAGGACTGGAATAGATGGTGTTAGACAGGAGAGGAGGGGGCTGGCCCGTGCAGGGCCCTGAGCCCAGTGTATCTGAGTGTCCAGGGTTTTTTTTACCTGGCATCTCCTGCCCCTGGGACTTTGGACAGTAAATAGAAGGGGAAATGGAGTTGGAACTCAGGCAAAGGCTGTTGGGGGTGGGGAATGGGAACTTCTCTGTCCTCGTCCCCAGAGAAGGGGGTCTCCTAGACTGTCTTGCCACCCACACATGCCAGTTGCCGCACTGTCATTTTGTGATTTGAGAGGTAGGGCCAGGCCAGGAGGGCCAGGGTACAGTTTTGCTGTTTCGCCTCTGCCCCTCCCCTCCTCACTTCCTGCCTCTAAATTTCTCAGGGTTGTCCAGTGACTCCAAACACTCCTACCAGGATCAAAGCGATCATTAACATAAGCTCAATGCCCCCTAAGCAAAAAAGGCACTCTTTCCCCCTCCTTATCACCCTGGTAACCACTAATAATCTTTAGGTTCTATATCTTTGCTTATTTCATATAAGTGAGATCATACAATATTTGTCCTTTTGCAACTGACTTATTTCGCTTAGCATGAATGATGTTTTCAAGGTTCATCCATGTTGTGGTATGCATCAAGATTTCATTCACTTTATGGCTGAGTAATATTCCTGTATATATATATATATATATATAAAATATATATATAATTTGCAAGACCAACGACTTCTTCATTGCGAACATATTTTTCAACAATGTAAATGGTTTCACCAGATGAAATACACAGGAATCAAATCGAATACATCTGTGGAAAGAGATGATGGAAAAGCTCAATATTATCTGTAAGAACAAGGCCAGGGGCGGACTGCAGAACAGACCATCAATTGCTCAAATGCAAGTTCAAGTTGAAGCTGAAGAAAATTAGAACAAGTCCAGGAAAGCCAAAGTACCACCTTCAGTATATCACACCTGAATTTAGAGACCATCTCAAGAATAAATTTGATGCATTGAGCACTAATGACCGAAGACCAGATGAGTTGTGGAATGACATCAAGGACATCATACATGAAGAAAGCAAGAGGTCATTAAAAAGACAGAAAAGAAAGAAAAGACCAAAATGGATGTCAGAAGAGACTCTGAAACTTGCTCTTGAATGTCAGGTAGCTAAAGTGAATGGAAGAAATGATGAAGTAAAAGAGCTGAACAGAAGATTTCAAAGGGCAGCTAGAGAAGACAAAGTGAAGTATTATAATGACCTGTACAAAGATCTGGAGTTAGAAAACCAAAAGGGAAGAACACACTTGGCATTTCTCAAGTTGAAAGAACCAAAGAAAAAATTCAAGCCTCGAGTTGCAATTTTGAAGGATTCTATGGGAAAAATACTGAATGACGCAAGAAGCATCAAAAGAAAATGGAAGGAATACAGAGTCACAGTACCAAAAAGAATTGGTCAACATTCAACTATTTCAGGAGGTAACTATGATCAAGAACTGATGGTACTGAAGGAAGAAGTCGAAGCTGCACTGAAGACATTGACGAAAAACAAGCCTCCAGGAATTGACAGAGTAACAATTGAGATATTTCAACAAATGAATGCAGCGCTGGAAGTGCTCACTCGTCTCTGCCAAGAAATTTGGAAGACAGCTACCTGGGCAACTGACTGGAAGAGATCCATATTTATGCCTATTCCAAAGAAAGGCGATCCAACAGAATGTGGAAATTATCAAACAAAATCATTAACATCATACTCAAGTAAAATTTTGCTGAAGATCATTCAAAAGTGGTTGCAGCAGTACCTTCACAGGGAGCTGCCAGAAATTCAAGCCAGATTCAGAAGAGGACATGGAATGGAGTATATCATTGCTGATGTCAGATGGATCTTGGCTGAAAGCAGAGAACACCAGAAAGATGTTTACCTATGTTTTATTGACTATGCAAAGGCATTCAGCTTGTGGATCATAACAAATTAAGGATAACATTGTGAAGAATGGGAATTCCAGAACACTTAATTGTGCTCATGCACAACCTATACATAGACCAAGAGGTAGTCATTCAAATAGAACCAAAGGATTCCACATGGTTTAAAAACAGGAAAGGTGTGCGTCAGGATTGTATCCTTTCGCCATACTTATTCAGTCTGTATGCTTAGGAAATAATCTGAGAACCTGGACTATATGAAGAAGAATGCAGCATCAGGATTGGAGGAAGACTCATTAACAACCTGTGGTATGCAGGTGACACAACCTTGCTTGCTGAAAGTTAAACGACTAGAAGCACTTCTGATGAAGATTGAAGACTACAGCCTTCAGTGTGGATTGCACCTCAATATAAAGAAAACAAAAATCCTCACAACTGACCAATAAGCAACATCATGGCAAATGGAGAAAATATTGAAGTTGTCAAGGATTTCATTTTACTTGGATCCACAATCAACACCCATGGAAGCAGCAGTCAAGAAATCAAATGTAGTACTGCACTGGACAAATCTGCTGCAAAAGACCTCTTTAAAGTGTTAAGAAGCAAACACGTCACTTTGAGGACTAAGGTGCACCTGACCCAAGACATGGTATTTTCAATCGCCTAATATGCATGCAAAAGCTGGACAATGAATAAGGAAGATCGAAGAAGAATTGATGTCTCTGAATTATGGTGTTGGTGAAGAATATCAAATATACCATGGACTGCCATAAGAACGAACAAATGTATCTTGGAAGAAGTACAGCCAGAATGCTCCTTAGAAGCGAAGGTGGAGAGTCTTCATCTCACGTACCTTGGACATGTTATCAGGAAGGACCAGATCCTACAGAAGGACATAATGTAAAGTAGGTGGTCATCAAAAAAGAGGAAGACCCTCAACGAGATGGATTGACACGGTGGCTGCAACAATGAGCTCAGGCATAACAATGATCATGAGGATGGTGCAGGACTGGGCGGTGTTTCATTCTGTTGTACATAGGGTCGCTATGAGTTAGAAGCCACTTAATGGCACCTACCAACAACTACATATATAACTCACAGATCCCGTTTGAATGTGTGAGTGAACAGGGGAGGGGGCACCACAGATTATCAGTTTTTAGGGCCCTCCCATGCCTTAGTCATAGTTCTTAAAAAAAAAAAAAACAGAATAGACACAGAGACACACAGAGGAAGATGCCATATGAAGGCAGACACACTCAGCAGATGCATCTACAAGTCCAGGAACTCCAAGGATTGCCGGCTACGAAAAGCTAAAATAGACAAAGGACCTGCCCCTAGAGCCATGTCCTGAATTCTGACTTCTAGTCTCCTAAACTGTGAGAAAAGGAGCTCTGGTGGCACAATGGTTAAGCACTCAGCTGCTAACCGAAAGATCAGTGGTTTGAACCCATCAGCAGCTCCTCAAGAGAAAAGACCTGGTAATCTGCTCGCTTAAAGATTACAGCCTAGGAAATCCTATGGGACAGTTCTACTCTGTCCTATATCTCGGGTCGCTATGAGTCAGAATCAACTCGATGGCACGAAACAACAACAAGCTGTGAGAAAATAAATTTCTGTTCTTTAAAGCCACCCCCTTGTGGTACTTTTTGTTACAGTAGCACTAGGTAACTAAGACACCACTTAAGCTTAGTGATGGTTTGTTATGCATCAATAGGTAACTGAAACAATATCTGCTTTTAAATACGTATGTATCCTTATAACATGTGTGGTGTAAAGGGTCTTGAAAGCAGCGACAGGAACAGACATGTACCCCAATGTTCACTGCTGCACTATTCACAATAGCCAAAAGGTGGAAACAACCTAAATACCCATGAACATACCTGGTGGTACATACAAACAAAGGACTACTACTCAGTGACAAAGAGAAATGAAGTTCTGATATATGCTACAACATGGATGGAGCTTGAAGACATTATCCTGAGTAAACTAAGTCAATCACAAAAAGACAAATACTATATGACCTCATATCATGGATTGAATTGTGTCCCCCAAAATATGTCTCAACTTGGTTAGGCCATGATTCCCAGTATTGTGTGGTTGTCCACCGTTTTGTGATCTGATGTGGTTATCCTGTGTGTTGTAAATCCTAACCTCTACGATGTTAATGAGGCAGGATTAGAGGCAGTTATGTTAATGAGGCAGGATTCAATCTACTGGATTAGACTGTATCTTGAGTCAATCTCTTTTGAGATATAAAAGACAGAATTGAGCAGAGAGGAGAGGGACCTCATTACTACCAAGCAAGAAGAGCCAGGATTGGAGAATGTTTGTTGGACCCAGGGTTCTTGCACTGAGAAGCTCCTAAGCCAGGGGAATATTGATGACAAGGACCTTCCCCCAGAGCTGACAAAGAAAGAAAGCTCTCCCCTGGAGCTGGCATCCTAAATTCAGACTTCTAGCCTCCTAGACTGTGAGAGAATCAATTTCTGTTTGTTAAAGCCATCCACTTGTGGTATTTCTGTTTTAGCAACACTAGACAACTGAGACATCTCACTTATATAAAAAGACAAGAACAGGCAAATGTATAGAGACCAAAGTTTATTAGTGATTACCAGGGGCAGGAGGGAGGGGGGAAAAGAGGAGTGATTGCTTA